AAATTCTTCCAGAATAGAGTTCGAGGCGAAGAAGAATTACATCGCCCTTTACGTCTGGTTATTTACAAGGTAATTTTAGCAGGCGGCCACTGTAGGATATTTTTTGACACCTGTAGTGTTCGATGCATCTAGCCATTACTTTGGTGAACGGAATGATGTAAACTGCATCTGGCACAACAGCCGCTAAAGATACCATGCAGTTGTAGCTTGGTTTAATGGCTCTATTAACAACTCTCAAATTTGTTCGTTAACGTACTCCGGCGTATAAACTCATGTCTTCAATATTTAAACGGAAACATTTTAAAAGAAGCAGTACCATAACTGTCGTTCATGAGTGTGAGGTAGCTCTAGCGAAAAAAAAATGAAACAATATACACTTCATATTGCAAGTGCTCAACTGTAAAAGAGTCGTGATTTCCTTAAAGGGCTTCCCTATGCAATTAAGAGCAAAACAACGTTGCAACGCACCGGACCGAATCTAGTCTTGCATGAATTATGAGCCAGTTAACATATTCTAGCGCACAAGCAAATTATGCTTATGTGGCGCGATATGACATACGAGACATATCATTTAGCATTACTCAAACACGATGTAGCCTGTTGTGCTTAAACGCCACAAAGGCAGTTAAGAGCAAAAAGATAATAGCAATACGTCATGAAATTTGCCCTTGAAGGAGCTATTCGTCTGAGAAGCTCAATAATCGAATGAAAATCAGAAAACGGCGTGAGAGAAGTACGGTAGGCTAAAGTAAGGCTCACTGTACTACACGATAACTAACGCCGATGGGTAGTTACAGCCTTGCGCCCTACTATGAAAACAAACTTTCACAGACAACGTTCTCGATATGATTAAAGAGAAGAGTAGAAATCGAGTCAAGTCACGTGACACTGATTGTTGTGCCGTTTACTGCTCATGGGCGAGCAGCAGCGAAAAGTGCGCTTTCGTTAATGGTAGCGTGTTTAAGGAGCATTCACTTATAAATTCTACTAGTGGCGGTGCAAGACATAAGGTCACACGAAAACATGGCCGTCACTCATCTACCAATGGCCAAACACTGAGCAATCGCCTACAACGTACAGCAAGAGTAAAACAAAAATACCGTACCTCTGTACACGTGATCAGAGATCAGGCGGTACGTCAGCGGCTGGGGCCAACGAAAACGTTGCTGGCAACACTATTGACCGCGCGGACCGCAGTGGTCACAAATCCAAACGTCAACCTAAAATCGGAATGAAATACCGTAGGCCCGACAGGTCTGACAAACGCACGGTATTGGAAAACTACGCAAAGCGATTGCGACGCGTGGGCGATACGACTGCGACGTATCGAACATTAAAAACGAATCGATCGGCTCGCAAGCAAGAAACATCCAGAAAAATCCAGTCAAATCAACAGATGGACGAACGATTGGTCATCATATCACCCACCCACGCAAATACCTGGGATCATTCACAATTACGGGATAGTCTCACAGGTCATCCAT